CAAGATATACAACCAACCTAACTGTCCACCAATGGACAATTGCAGAAGGAAAATGTGGTATATAAACGCCATGGAATACTGCCTTAAAAAAGAATGAAATTCTCCCATTTGCAATAACATGGATGAGCTTGGAGAAACTTACGTTGAGTGAAATAAGCAAAGCACAGAGGGATAAATACTGCGTGAGAGCTAAGAGAGAAAGAAGGAAGGAAAGAAAGACCACAGTGGTGTGTTGGACTTGCAGAGGGAGAGAGCATACCTAGGGATATAAAGTCGGGTGGAGGAGAGGGGGATGGGGACGGAGGTTGGGGATAATTGGGTGGGGGACACAGGGTATAATCGAAATTTGTGGTAATGTGCATGCTGCCAGTATGCATCTGGACATCCTATCTTGGGCACGAGTAGTGACAATCCGCTTGGTATTTCATGAATATCCACAGCCAATAAAATAAATAAATAAAATACAATATAAATAAATAAATAAATGAATATGTCCCTTGTAATTCCACTGGACCTCTAACTCATTAAGATTACCATTGTAACATTCGTTTTAGGGATTTATGTGAAAATCACATCAAAATGATCTTTAAGCATCTGGTACTCATTTCACACATTAAAATGAGCATATTTATAGAAGATGAAAATAAATAAAATATGTTAAAAATAAATAAATAAAAGAGATACAACCTTTGAAAAGCCTTGTCCATATTTTTTAAAAATGTAGATGAACATTAAAAAAAAAAATTTTATGTCACTGTATTCTTTGAATTCCTTCTTGGTTATACGCCAAAACTTGTTGAGTGCCTTAGTATTAAAAATGTTTTCACCAGTCTACCAGCTAACACCTCGATTAGCGTCTGCTTCAACTTTTAGAAAAGCAAGGAATTAAAAACACACATTGAATCTGTCACCCAGATATTAGAGCCATTTGCTCTCAATGCCCCTAACCTGTTTTCATGATTGTTCTGTTTGGCTCAACTGATCAAGCTTCAGCAAGTCTGAGGTGCTTTTTTCCATCAACAGGAAGGACACAGTGAAGGACTAGCCTTGCCCACGGTCACCGGCACCTTTTCAGATTGTGACTGGCGATAAAGCGAAGGGTTTCCTTGAAACTACCCTCACGCCCGTAGCCCTCGGGCTGCCTCCAAACATAAACTATGTGTGGTACTTTTTGAGGAAGGCGGGGTTGGGGAGGCACGGGTCAGGAACAGAACCGATGGAACTGAGCGATTTTCTCTCACTTCTCCCGCAGGAAAGGTGTCTAGCCGGCCCGGTGCGGGTGCTCAGAGAACCGCGTCAACCTTGCCCGGCCCTGAACGCACGCGACGTTCCGCGTCTCTTCCCGCGCCCCAGGGGGCGCAGCGCG